CAGTCGTAGCAGTAGTAGCAGTCGCAGTAGTAGTAGCAGTCGTAGCAGTAGTAGCAGTTATAGTCGTAGTTGACGGTGAGTCTGGTTCCTGCTCCAAAAATGAGTTTGTTTGAAGAGTAAGTCCCACTGTGAGTCTGAGGGCCCCAAAAACCCCGAGTCCAAAACCAGGATCAGCTCTTTGTCTCTGTGTCTCTGTACTTCTGTTATTATTATTACTGCTTTAAGACAGTATTTATATTTTAGTTTTTTTTTTAGATATGGGACCGTTCATGTATCATGGCCAAAATCATGAATATGAATAAGTATAACTATGAAAATGTTCCATAAGTTTTACAGGAGCTTTTCTCTGCTCAGTCTGGTGATTATTGTCCACCGTGTTATTATTGTGTTTTGTTCCATAGTAGTTTATTTTTAGTGTAGTATTTTTAGGAGTATTGGAGGTTTTACTCAGATCTCGACATCGGTTTGATCTTGAAAAATGTGCAGTTTGTCATTTTGAACAGATTCAATGAGTGAAATCTGACTTTTTATCACAGATTTATTATTATTTTTACAAAACGTTTATTGGACATAACATTTGGTTTGTAGTAGAAAGATTCAGATTCAGATTTAGACTCGAGGTGTTTTTATTTTTCACATGTCAAAATCAAATTGAATCTAAAATCATGATGACGTGATTATTTTGGCAAAGTTCAGAGAAGATAAAAGTGTGAGGATGAAAACAGAAACGCTCCTCTTCAGTCCGAAGCTGAATAATGTGTTTCGGAGTAAAAGTATTTCATGTACTTCAGACAAAGTACTCACAGTTTTGCACGGTGAATCTCGTCCCTGTTCCAAAGTACAGTCGAGTCGCTCCAGTTCCAGTCACACAGTCCCACACTCCTCTGCACAAACCCAAACTCTGAACTTTTCTATTATTTTACTTTCCAAACTGACAAATTTTGACTTAAACTTTATTGATCCACAAAGGATTTTATTTATCTCTCTTCTCTGTAACTTTAACTCATTTCAGTGAAACAGTTTTAGACTAAAGTTTGATAAGTTTATTTTTTATTATGCAGATGTAAAACTCTGACATTAAAATAAAGTGAAAAAGTCAAATGTGACTCACAGATTTGGACTCGGAGTGAAGTTCCTGTTCCAAAAATCATCTTCACGTTGTTATTCACACAACACGACGCTCCAGTACTCAAACTACTACTACTACTACTACTACTAACTACTACTACTACTACTACTACTACTACTACTACTACTACTACTACTACTACTACTACTACTACTACTACTACTACTACTACTACTACTACTACTACTACTACTACTACTACTACTACTACTACTACTACTACTACTACTACTACTACTACTACTACTACTACTACTACTACTACTACTACTACTACTACTACTACTACTACTACTACTACTACTACTACTACTACTACTACTACTACTACTACTACTACTACTACTACTACTACTACTACTACTACTACTACTACTACTACTACTACTACTACTACTACTACTACTACTACTACTACTACTACTACTACTACTACTACTACTACTACTACTACTACTACTACTACTACTACTACTACTACTACTACTACTACTACTACTACTACTACTACTACTACTACTACTACTACTACTACTACTACTACTACTACTACTACTACTACTACTACTACTACTACTACTACTACTACTACTACTACTACTACTACTACTACTACTACTACTACTACTACTACTACTACTACTACTACTACTACTACTACTACTACTACTACTACTACTACTACTACTACTACTACTACTACTACTACTACTACAAACTACTACTACTACTACTACTACTACTACTACTACTAACTACTACTACTGACTACTACTACTACTACTACTACTACTACTACTACTACTACTACTACTACTACTACTACTACTACTACTACTACTACTACTACTACTACTACTACTACTACTACTACTACTACTACTACTACTACTACTACTACTACAAACTACTATGAACTACTACTACTACGACTACAACTACTACTACTACTACTACTACTACTACTACTGTTACTACTACTACTAGTACTACTACTACTACTACAAACTACTACTACTACAAACTACTACTACTACAAACTACTACTACTACTACTAACTACTACAACTACTACTACTACTACTACTACTACTACTACAAACTGCTACTACAACAATTACTACAACAACAACTACTACTACTACTACTACAACTACTACTCCAACTACCACTACTACTATGAACTATTACCTCTACTACTAGTACTCATATACTTCAGACAAAGTACTCACACTTTAAATGTGCTTAAGTGTAAAAGTATTTTGTGTACTTCAGACAAAGTACTCACAGTTTAAATGTGTTTAGATGTAAAAGTATTTTGTGTACTTCAGACAAAGTACTCACAGTTTAAATGTGTTTAGGTGTAAAAGTATTTTGTGTACTTCAGACAAAGTACTCACAGTTTTGCACGGTGAGTCTCGTCCCTGTTCCAAAGTACAGTCTGTATCCTCCAGTTCCAGTCACACAGTCCCACACTCCTCTGCACAAACCCAAACTCTGAACTTTTTTTAATTATTTTACGAGCTAAAATTGTCTGACAGTTTGAGAAAAAAGAGTTTTAGAGTAAAGTTTTTGTTGATGTTTTGACGCAGATGTAAAACTCGGTGCTGCTGTGATCATCAAACCTACGACATCTGAAGCAGTTTGTGTTTCTAAAATATTGATAACTTTATTAAATCTTTATCTTTATCTCGTCACTGCTCAATCTGACCTCACTTTTAAATTTTTTTTTAAACGTGTTTATTGGAGATTTTCTGTGTTTGTGATTTACTTTGGTGTTTTTATCCAAATAAACGAACTTTGAACGAACACTGAGGCAGGTTGACAGAATATTTTAACTCTTTCTGGAGTTAAAGAACGAAAATAAACGACGAGCAAAATTGACACAAACTCTGCAAACGACTCAAAATGATAAATAAAGTGAAATAAAAGTGAAAAAGTCAAATGTGACTCACAAATTTGGACTCGGAGTGAAGTTCCTGTTCCAAAAATCATCTTCTGGTAATTCACACAACACGACGCTCCAGTACACAAACTACTACTACTACTACTATTGCTACTACTACTACTACTACTACTACTACTACAAACTACAATTATTACTACTATTGCCATAAACTAGAACTACTACTACTGTAACTTTGAATCTTCAGTTTCAAATATTGTTCAAATTATTGTTCAAATATGATTCAAATATTTCTCTTCCTTTTCTTAGATGCAGTACTATACCTCAAATACCTCAAATACTGCACTACGGATACTTAAAACACTTTTGTAAATTACTTTATGAACTGAACTGTCAGAATCAGATGAGTTGATAAAAACTTTTAACTGGACTCAGACAGAACCTGGACGACTCGACTTCTGACCCGAGGAGCCGTTTAAAGTCTGGATCTGCTCAAAGACACGAGGAAAAACACGACAGGAGATTTACTGTGATAAACACGAGGGTTTAACGGGAGGGCATCTGGACTAAAATCTGTTTCACACCAACAACATCAACTCAGGTCTTAAACCGATTCTTAAACCGGGTCTTAAACCGGGTCTTAAACCGGGTCTTAAACCGAGTCTTAACCGGGTCTTAACCGGGTCTTAAACCGGGTCTTAAACCGGGTCTTAAACCGAGTCTTAAACCGAGTCTTGTTTACTCACGGGTCTGGACTGAGAGTCTGGTCCCGGCTCCAAACAGGATCTTATACTGGTTTGATCCAGTCACACTGTAGTACACTCCACAACAAGAACTACATGTACTGCAGTACTACAGATACTACTACAAATACTACTACAAATACTGCAGTACTACAAATACTACTAAGAATACTGCTACAAATACTGCAGTACACGCCACAGCACTAACTACTGAACACATACTGGATCACTGTCAATAATACTACAAATACTACTACAAATACTGCAGTATATTTCTGGAGTATATTAATTTGTAGTAAAAATCAGATTTACTCACCGAGAGTCACAGAGAGTCGAGTCCCTGCTCCAAAATACAACCTCCAGTTTGAGGAAGAAGTCACACACTGATCTGACCAGGGACAAATACTGCAGTACTACAAGTACTAATGCAAGTACTACTGCAAGTACTACTGCAAATACTACACTACTGCAGTGCCACTACTACTATAGTGCAATAGAAAACTGTAATTATTCTTGAATATTAAACCTGCAGTTTAATGGGAGCATAACCTGAGTTTAACTGGAGTTTAACAGGAGTTTAACTGGAGTTTAACTGGAGTTTAACAGGAGTTTAACTGGAGTTTAACAGGAGTTTAACGGGAGTTTAACAGGAGTTTAATGGGAGTTTTAACAGGAGTTTAATGGGAGTTTAACAGGAGTATAACCTGAGTTTAACGGGAGTTTAACAGGAGTTTAATGGGAGTTTAACAGGAGTATAACAGGAGAGTTTAACAGGAGTTTAACGGGAGTTTAACAGCTCACTGTTTTGCACTGAGAGATCTGTGTTGTGTTGAGTCAGAGTCCTGACATGACCCTGTGTTTGTAACTGTAATAACACCAGTGTAATAACACCAGTGTGAACAGGATCATAACTAATAAAAAGTAAAACTCACAGGTTGTGACTCTGAGGAGGGTTCCAGCTCCAAAGATCAGTTTGTCGAAGCCTCCAGTCACACCTCAGGTCACAGCAGCACAAAAACCTCTGCACCTGTCACACTGCACCTGTCACACTGCACCTGAGCTTTTCAATGTAAAGGTAGAATAATAATACTACTATAATGTCTGATTTACAGGTGTGTTTCTGTTTGAAGTGGACCCTGGCCTTTCACTTCATAACGTCAGAGAACTCAGACAACTGTACAATCCCATGAGAATAAGAGTCCTTCTGTGTTTTTAAACTCACCGCTTTGGACTCTGAGGAGGGTCCCAGCTCCAAACACCATTTTAGTCCCAACTCCAGTCACACCTCAGCTCAGAGGTGCACGAAAACTCATCGTCACGGCAACGCAAACTTTTATATTCAACTTTTCGATAACCTTAAACCTCATGATACAATATTAAACTGGGACTAAACCAGAACTGGACTGAACCCGAATTGAACCAGGACTGAAACACAAATACATTTCTTTTTTCTAAACCCAATCACACTTAAATACAGTAACATGCAGTACAAATGTAGTAGTAAGTAAAGTATTAGTACTCACTGGTGTGTACTGTGAGTCTGGTCCCAGCTCCAAAGATGAGTTTCCTCAACCCTTCATTCACACAGTACTACACACTCATCCAAATACTACTACTACTACTACTACTACTACTACTACTACTACTACTGCTGCTGCTAATGCTTCTACTTAACCAGGACTAAGAGAAACTCTCCTTTCTAAAACCTCATCTCAGTTTAATACTTTGTCTGCGTCAGGGAGGGCATCTGACATAAACAGAAGAAGCCGAAGGACCAAAGTATTTTAAAACTCAGTATGCAGTAATTATATGCAGTAATTGCAGTAAAAGTACTCACTGGTGTGTACTGTGAGTCTGGTCCCAGCTCCAAAGATAAGCTTCCTCGACGCTTCATTCACACAGTACTACACACTCATCCAAAAACTACTACTACTACTACTACTACTACTACTACTACTGATACTACTACAACTAGTACGGCTACTACTACTACTACTACTACTATTACTACTACTACTTGCTTCTATCAGTGACTAAACCAGGTCTAAACTGTTTTATGTGTCTCATTTATTTTTTGTGAACCCAATAACACCCAGAAATAAAGAAACGTGCAGTACAAATGCAGTAAAAGTAAAGTATTAGTACTCACTGGTGTGTACTGTGAGTCTGACTCTTGTTCCAAAGTACAACCAGGACTAAACCTGGACTAAACCAGGACTAAACCAAACCAAACTTTGAAATTATTTGGACATTTAAACAATTTAAAAACTTAGAAGTACGCAGTATTTGTATGCAGTAATCGCAGTAAAAGTACTCACTGGTGTGTACTGTGAGTCTGGTCCCAGATCCAAAGGTGAACTTCCTCGTCCCAGTATTCACACAGTACTACACACTCATCCAAATACTACTACTACTACTACTACTACTACTACTACTACTACTACTGCTACTACTACTACTACTACTACTGTGAGTGTTCCAAGTTTTGTTTTCAGAAGGAAGCTCCACACAGACACAGGCAGAACATGCAAAATATATATTCGTTCATCTGTTGGATTCTAATCGGGATCGTTCGATACGGGAGATTTCGTGACCGATACTGATTTAGTAAAACTCAGATCAGTCGATTCTGTCTGACGATATTTAGAGCTGATTCATTTGACCCAGAATATCATTAGAATATTTATTTTATGTGAGTATTTCAGAATATTTCATTTATCTTCAGACGTTTTCAGCAACAACATTTACAAAAGCAGAAGAGTCAAATGCGCAGAGAAACAAACAAGTGAAACTCTTTATTTAAGCGACGGGCCGAGACTAAAGATCGAACTGTTACCGATATCGGCCTGTGCGTCTAAAGAAACTAGCACTTGTAAAGTTCTGTGTGGAGCTGAACAAAACTGACGACAACCAAACAAAACCAAATGTCACATTTTAAATATTAAATTTCAAACTTTATATTTGAAATAGAATAAATAAAATCTGTAACTGAACACGAGGGAAAAGAGCGAGAATAAAACCGTTTATATTTCCACACACTTTCCTTTTTGAACATGTGGGTGAATCCTCATATTTAAAGATGAAAAACTTTCAACAAACAAACAAATAATAAATATTAAAGTGTATTTTTGTTACTCACTGGTGTAAACTGTGAGTCTGGTCCCAGCACCGAAGTACAACCTCCCTGTGTTAGTATTCACACAGTACTACAGAGGAGTACAAATACTACTACTACTGCAGACCATACAAATACTACTACTACTGCAGATTAATACTAATTCTACTACTACTACTGCAGACTATACAAATACTACTACTACTGCAGATTAATACTAATACTACTACTACTGCAGACTAGTACAAATACTACTACTACTGCAAACTAATACAAATACTACTACTACTGCAGACTATACAAATACTACTACTACTGCAGACTATACAAATACTACTACTACTGCAGACTAATACTACTACTACTACTGCAGACTATACAAATACTACTATTACTGCAGACTAGTACAAATACTACTACTACTGCAGACTAGTACAAATACTACTACAGACCAGTACAAATACTACTACTGCAGTCTAGTACTATAACTCTGACTGTTCTGGGGCAGTGTTTTACGTTCTGTTTGTGACTCGAATAAAAAAGTTGGAGTGTTTCTCGTCTGAACGTCAAAAAACTCAACAGAAACAAACAAAGACAAATAAATTTAACGTTTAAATAAAGTATTTTTGTTACTCACTGGTGTGTACTGTGAGTCTGGTCCCAGCACCGAAGTACAACCTCCAGGAACCAGTATTCACACAGTACTGCACTGTGGTACTAAAAGTACTACTACTACTATTACTAGTACTACTACTACTACTGTTACTATTACTACTACTACTAATGCTTCTATTACTAAATAAACCAGGTCTAAACCCCGGACTAAACTAGGACTAAACCAGGACTGAACCAGGACTAAAAGAACTTGTCTTTCTAAAACCTCATGTCAGTTTAATACTTTGTCTGCGTCAGGGAGGGCATCTGATATAAACAGAAGAAACCGAAGCACCAAAGTATTTTAACACTCAGAAGTATGCAGTAATTATATGCAGTAATCGCAGTAAAAGTACTCACTGTTGTGTACTGTGAGTCTGGTCCCAGCTCCAAAGTACAGCTTGTACGTGTTAGTATTCACACAGTACTTCAGAGCAGTACATATACTACTACTGCAGACTAGTACAAACACTACTACTACAGCAGAGTAGTACTTTAACTACTATTACTGTGGACTAGTACTACAACAACTACTACAGAAGACTGGGATATTTACATTTAATACTTCTAAAAGTACTTTAAGAGGACCTAAAAATACTGCAATCAGACAGATCCACCCTGTGACACTGTTATGTAGTATTTATATAAAAAGTACTTTGTTTTGTTCAGTAGAAAGTATTTTACTATGATCACCAGAATCTGTAGTAACAAATACACTTTTACTTTTCACAATAAAAGCCTCGCATCATAGCCCTTCACAATAAAAGCATCAGTATCACAAAGATAAATCACTCTATTATAATATATGAAGAGTACACAGAGTACACATGCAGTACTGATGAAGTAAAAGTACTTACTGGTGTGTACTGTGAGTCTGGTCCCAGCAGGAGTCCACACAGTACTGCACTCTAGTACTAAAACTACTACTACTACTGCAGACTACTACTACTACTGACTACTACTACTACTAATTACTACTTCCTACTGGTATTTCTAAAACCTCAGTTTGATACTTTGTCTGCGTCAGGGAGGGCATCTGACATAAACAGAAGAACCCAAAGCACTAAAGTATTTTAAAACTCATTATGCAGTAATTATATGAAGTAATCGCAGTAAAAGTACTTACTGGTGTGTACTGTGAGTCTGGTCCCAGCTCCAAAGGTGAACTTCCTCGACGCATCATTCACACAGTACTACACACTCATCCAAATACTACTACTACTACTACTACTACTACTACTACTACTGCTTCTATCCCTGACTAAACAAGGACTAGACCAGGACTAAAGAGAACTAAACCAAACCAAACTTTGAAATTATTTGGACATTTAAACAATGTAAAAACTCAGTACTTTGCTACAGTATACTACAGTACTCAGTAGTATGTAGTAATCGCAGTAAAAGTACTCACTGGTGTGTACTGTGAGTCTGGTCCCAGCTCCAAAGATGAGTTTCCAGGTCCTTATCATTCACACAGTACTACACACTCATCCAAATACTACTACTACCACTACTATTACTAATACTACAACAACTAGTACAACTACGACACTAATATAAAAAGTGATAAACGAGGACCTGATGAAAACTTAGATTTTGACAAACTTGACAAACTGATCCTCAAGATAAATTATTTGGATATTTAAACAATTTAAAAACTCAGTAATACGCAGTAATTGGACACAGTAATACAGTAATTGCAGTAAAAGTACTCACTGGTGTGTACTGTGAGTCTGGTCCCAGCTCCAAATGTGAGTTTTCTAGCCCCATCATACACACAGTACTACGCAGTCATCCAAAAACTACTACTACTACGACTACTACTACTACTACTACTACTACTACTACTACCACTACTATTACTACTATTACTAAAACTACTATAATTACGACTACTACTACTACTACTACTTGCTTCTATCAGTGACTAAACCAGGTCTTAACTGTTTTATGTGTCTAATTTTTGACTAGTTTTATTTATTTTTTATTTTTTTGTGTGAACCCAATAACACCAAGAAATACAGTAACATGCGGTAAAAATGCAGTAAAAGTAAAGTATTAGTACTCACTGGTGTGTACTGTGAGTCTGACTCCTGTTCCAAAGTACAACCGGGACTAAACCAGGACTAAACCAGGACTAAACCAAACCAAACTTTGAAATTATTTGGACATTTTAAACAATATAAAAACTCAGAAGTACACAGTAATTGTATGCAGTAATTGCAGTAAAAGTACTCACTGGTGTGTACTGTGAGTCTGGTCCCAGCTCCAAAGGTGAGTTTCTGGGTCCCATCATTCACACAGTACTACATAATCATCTAAAAACTACTACTACTACAACAACAACTACTACTACTACTACTACAACTACGACACTAATATTAAAAAAAAAAGTGATAAACGAGGACCTGATGAAAACTTAGACTTAGACAAACTTTAATGATTCTCAAGGGAAATTATTTGGACATTTAAACAATTTAAAAACTCAGTAGCACAGTAACTGTATGC